TAGGGAAAGTGCCTGGCCATTTTACTCCAGTTTTGGCACCCTCTCCCCATCACAGTGCGGTGCGACCTGTGACCCTGACCATGACAGATACTAAACCCATCACTACATCCACTGAAGGTGAGGCATCTTCACCTACAGCAACCAGTAAGTATTTCTTTAGGAAACAAAAAATGTCCATCAAAGATTCCATACAATTTCAAATTGAGGCCAGAAAAAGGCGCCTTTTCCTACTATTTGACCAAGTGGATGCTCATCATTTTACATGGAGAGCAGACATGATCTGACTGCAAAGCTTTCCCTCCCCAAATTTCAACGGTGCATCATGTTACATCAAACAGAGTTTGTGACATGACAACCAAAAAGAAAGGGAAAAGCCTGCATATTTGACCACTATGCAAGAAAAAGGAAGTGTGGTTATTCATCTAAGGTGGACATTGTTATGACATTGAGAAGCACACCCAGACAGCAAGGTTTTACAATGACCCGGAGGTGGAATTCCAAACAGAGATTGGATAATTTGCTCCTCAATGAGCTTTCCTACAGAAATCAAGCCTTGTTACAACACATACTGAATCCGAGCTATGACAGTTGCATGTTCATATAGGTTGTGCTGTTTCTAGCAAAAAACCTGATGTGACAAAATAAAATTTTAATTCCTTTTATTGCTGCAGTGGATAGTGGGTCCACTATTCTTTTAAAACAAACAAACAAACAAACAAACAAACCAAACACATCCAAACCCTAACATTAATATATCTAAATTTTTTATTACTATATAGGGCCATGTTATTTATCCTATTATCTTCAATGGAATTGCGATTTTGGAAGTAAGAGCAAAGATTCAGGGTAATTTCTTCTTTTGCAGTTACTTATCTTATGCTCAGGGATGCAGAATGTTGCTTTTTAACTACTTTCTGTGTTTCTGTTGTCTTTAAACTTTTATTTGGACTTGAGATGGCCACTATTTATCAGAGTACCGAAAATTTTTTGGAGACACTTCCAAAAATACTTTGGAAGAAAACTTACCAGTCTTAGAAAATACTAATCTCTTTAGGGTCCATTACATCAAGATTACTTGCTTTAGACTTCTTTAGTATTTGTACTGTGAATCTAGTCCCTAACTGTTGGTCTGTGATTAGCAGAAGCCATAAACTATGTGTGTCTTAGGTGTTAGACTACTTAAAACCTTTTCATTAGGGTGTGAAGCAGAGATGAGACTCAAATGCATAGCATTGGCTGAGCTACAAAGGAGAAATACTGGTTATGCCTTTATTACAGGAAGATAGTAGTAACTTTTGGACAAACTATTGTTTAAAAATATACAAATAAAACTATGGATAGATTTATGCAAATGTTTTAGCTATTCTTTTAATATAGGCAAAGTTTTGTTAGAAGGTGATAGAGAACATCTGTATCTTCTCAGGTGGTTTGAGGTAGTTTTTGCACTTTTTAGGAAGAGTTAGTTTTAGCAGCAAACAAGAAGCTGTTGCTCTAAACTTTGAGTCAGAATAGGAAACTGGGACAACTGAATTCAAGTGTAGTTTCAAGGATTTATAGTTCGTTCTGCTTCCTGTTTCATGTGATTGTACCTGGCCTAAATACTGTCTCAGATGAGGTCAGGGTTTCTAATACAAATCACAAAAAGTAACAAATACAACATCACACCTGTGTTGGGATGTTTTCTGGTAATCTGACCGTATTATTCATCATTACAGGAAAGCAAACATAATCTACTAATTGTCCTACTACTAAAGGAAAAAAATTGGACTATATTTTCAAATGAGGTCAGCACCCAGTTTCTCTTGTAATTCAGTGGAACCTGGGTACCCATTTCCCAATTAGTCTTAGAACATCTTGGCTTAAATATTCAAAATAAGGTATCCTCATTCTTCCACAGTAGTATTCAAGTAAGTTCTTGCCTAAAGGTCCAATGTTTGTCAGTACAGCACATAAATAATAATAAAAACCCCTATGTACATATTTTATTTGTATGTGCCAATTCTGATATGAAGTAGCATATAAATGCTACATGTGTTTAGCATGTTGTGGTTTTCAGAGCAATGCAGTAGTCTTGTCTGCTTGGTAAGACTTTGGAAATTGGATTTGTAACTGTAAGAGCACAAAAGCTAAGTAACATAGCTTACTGATGAAGAATAAAAATGGGGGATCATGTCCTGCTGATATATAAATCATATATGAATACATATAAATTATATTATCAGTAACATAGGCATGCCAGACAGAGTGCTACTATTGACTTCATGGGAAAACCAAGACTAAATATATTTTAAAGCATAGTTTTCTTTTATATGCAATAAAAATACATATGCTTGTCCAACAAGTTATCATTATTAGTATAATTCAGTCTGATGAGAATAAACCAGAAAATTATTAGTACTGCTTTTAATTCTGAAGTGTGGTAGCAGAATTGTTTCAAATGAGAAAGAGCAGCAGACTTTCAGAATATTTGGGGAACCCTGTGGCCTCCACCATAATTTCCTTCTAATAATGGATTTATTTTTTTGACAGTTTTTCAGTAAAGTATTGCCATGTGGCTTTAACACTAACAGATGAATTCAGTAAGTACTCCAACCTAGCTCCTCACTGGTATGCTTGTGTATGCCTATTCAATTTTAGTACCTTTGTTTTGTCTGCCAGCAAGTTTCTAGGTTGTGATACTGAAAGTTGCAGTGTGGACTTCTCCACATTGGCAAGTGGAGCAAGACCACCTACCTCATTTCTTAAGAGCCACCAAAAGCTAGAAGAGGGTAATGTCTTTTAGGGATTACTGACAGAGACCAGACAGGAATGTGACCAAGAGGTGAAGGGTCCATATCCTGTAACTGATGCCAGCATCACTTACCATTCCCTTTCTCCTCAGAAATGGATTTATTTAATCTTCTGTATCAGACAGCATGGAAGTTCCTTAAGTTGTCCCCCTGGGAAGATGTTTCCTGATGGATAGGGGAGTTGACTATTTAATACTATATTGCATAGTAAAAAATAGCTCAGATCAGATTACAGCAGTAAGAATAAGTGTGCACTAATATTTTCTCTCAACATTGTAATCTCAGTGATTTGACTGGTGTGTTAGACTAGTATAATGGAAATGAGAATCAGGATCACGATTCCTTCAAATGTATACCTTGTTTAATCACTTTAGAAGAAGTAAAAAAAATGAATCAGAGGAACTATTATTTGACAAGAGACATCATTATGACTTACGCTTGCAGCTTCCATTGAAGTTTATAGGAATTTACACGACTTCCAAATTTGGTCCAATTTTTCTTTTGCATTCTGCTAAGGTTTAAATAAAGGAAAATCACAGACACATCCTATATATTGCAAAATCATAACTCTGGATTGCTCATATTTGTACTGTACCTGCACAGGGTAATATTTGTGATAGGTTGGTATTTTTATCAATCTGTTTTGTTCTTCCTTAATCAGCCTACACAGCCTCAGGCACATCCCAAGCCAATCGATATGTGGGACTAAGCCCAAGAGACCCATCCTTCCTACACCAGCAACAGGTGGGCAAGTTTCACATAGGTGTAATTATATAGAGAAGCTTTTACAATAATACCTTACTACATGCTACCACTGTTATCTAGGATCAGACTAGGATCCTAAGGGCTTCAGTATTAGCCATCTGAAGATTAAGTTTATTGAAAACAAAGCTGAACCCTTTATCAATTTAGCATATGCTTTATTTCTTAGATTTGTGCTATTTCAAGGAACTTCTAATTGAATTTAATTAAATTGTTTAATTTTTAAAGAGGTCATACATCTACTCTTGAATAGGATTTTAGGAAAGAGAATGTGAAGCATAAAGGACAAATGTTCCTCTCAAAATCAGATTAAAAATTAAGCAACATTTTGAAACTGAAAAGCTCAACCTACTCTTTTCAAACTATTTTGTGGGTTTTTTTTCTCCCACAGATATTAAAGGCTACATTTCTTTATTCTAGTTCTAGAAAATGCGTTATAAAACCAAGTTCTCAATGCCACACATAATCATTTCTAGTTTAATAGGTTTAAATTGGTCTGCAGATTTCAAATGTGATAAAACTACAGTCTTGTTCTGGGTTCTAACATAATTTATGTCTCAAGTAGCATTTTAAATTTCACATCTCATTAATGCTGTGAATTTAATGCAAATGTAGTGTTTACCCAAACTGTGAAAATATACAGCTGAGGTTAATGATGGCTTGCAAAACAATTAGCTGCAGTCAGTAGCAAGGCCATACATATACAGAAACGCTACATTGCTAGTAACATGAATAAATTCAGAACCTTTAGAAGTTCAACTTATTTTATGATGTGTGTTTGTGTTGCTCCTAGATCTTGACAGTAGAGGACTTTGAAATTAACAGCGTGTAAAATGTTATAAGGAAAAGAAGCTGAATGTAAAAGCAAGGAAAAGACTTTAAAATAACCCTTGATACTTACTGTACTGTATTTTTTTTCTGAGGCATCAGTTCCTGTCAACAGTCAGTACACATTCCTGTTTCATTTTTCAGTAAAGCCTACCTGTTCTGTGTTTACTGAGCAATAGCTGAAGTGTTCTTCTCATGTAACTCCCTGTCCACTCCCAGGGCAAGGTAGCAGTATGTCTGTTTTAAAGGTCACCACCACATGCAGAGTTCAGAGAAAATCATGAAGATGATTGTTATTCAAGATGGTTGATGCTTTGCCAACATTATTATTTTTTTTTTCAACCTGTGAGACCTAACTGGAAACACATGTAAGCTTCTATGAAAATACCAAAGGACAATTAGTGGGTTTCCAACCATTAATTTTTCAGTGAAATTTCTGGGTTTTTTTTTTGTTTTTTTTTAACCTCTCAAAGATTTTTTATTTTGAAATGTGTTATAATTGCTATAACCTGGTTCTCTTTAAAAAATACACAGTATGTGTTCATTGTATTTTAAACCAGACACACTTCTCTTTTTAAACACAGTGCATATGATTTATGGATTTCTTTTAATGTGTAGTTTTCCACAGCATCCTTTGAAAAGCCTTTGACATCCAGTTAACTTGAGGTTGTGCAATAATTTTTTTTTTACTACATGTTTTTATATGCATATTTTTTCTGCAAATTTTCAACTGCTTAAACCCACCTTACCTTCTTCCAAGTTCACTGAAAGAGTAACAAACTTCTTGTCACATGCCAGAAGGTAGTGGCAGCACACTTGATTTCCTCTTGGCTGAGTTTATGACGTGTAAACCGTACTGCTTATTTCATGCAACTTCTAGATATTTTTGCCTTTGTGTTAGATGGAAATAGATTTGGAGATTTCTGCAGTGTCATAGGAACATAAAAGGGTCATCACTGTCTTTGGTGTTTACATGCACTTTGTCTTAAAGTCCCTATCATGGTCAAACATGTGGCAAGATGGCTTAGGGGGAGGGGGAAAATAAATTAGGTCTCACATGCACTTCTTAAAAGAAAAAATCTTCAGTGCCACTGTGTGAAACTGATGTTCTCCCTTCTAAAGCATATTGCTTCATAGTCTCCTTGTATTAATTCAGTTGGTGAACACTGAGCCATGTAGTAAATTTAAAAACTGTGTCATGGTTTCATCTTTGCTGTGAATTGTTTTATAACTTATGTAGTGGATATATGTTCATGCTTGTCTGAGTTTGTTAGGGAGGAATGTGTGTGTGGATGCTTACACATATAAAAATAGGTATAAAATTAGGGAATAGTATTTACTGCTGAAAACATTTGAAAGAACAGAATACTTTATCAAGAAAGCTTGTTCAGATGGATAAATATGAATGTATGAGTGCATATATACAAGTTTCTAATGAATCAGTTACTCTCACTCACTTATATTTCAAAAGCATCTCTGAGATGGCAGTGCCATATATGTTTATTATCCAGAAGGTGAGTTAGAGCACTGAGATTGTCTGAACAACTTTAATAGAGCAAAGGTTATCCTTTGGTAAGGCAGAAATAAGATTGATTTGCTGTGTCCTTTCATTACTTTACAACAATTTAAAAGAGACCACTCTTCTTGTGGCAGATTTTAAATGCATTTGCTTTAAAGCAGCCCATGATGAATGAAAAGAAAAATCAAGGGGTACATGAAATAAAGGCAATCAATCACTTTGTATTAGTGGAAAGAAATTCTAAATTAGAACATCAATGATTTTAGTTCCAGAGAAGTCTTTTAAACATTCACCATACCCTGTAATACACATTGACCCCTCAACAATAAATATTGTCACCGGTACATCTTTTACATCATTGGACAAATCTTTATGAAGATTTATTCCCTCTTATATGAGAGAATATATAAGAAAAATTGACATGTACTGCTGAGCACTTTTTATAGGTTTTAGAAAGAACCATTATGTAGCCTGTTTAAATTAAAATAACTGCAATACATTTAAAAATTACACATGCACTTTGTAACAGCATTTACATGGAGTCTTTTTACAAAATTACAGTTTTCTAGAACTTCCAGTAAACAATTTCTAGCACAATGTATCTGCATGGAATACTCACATTTAGAAGGGAAGTACTGAATAGAACATTGAAAGACAGTGCATAGTAGAACCAATGGGAGCAGTTTATTTGCTTTTACTGCTCGGGAAACTGTGAAAAATATGCTGTTTCATGCATTATTTAGCATGCTACATTGATAGTTAGAAGGACAAGGTTCCAATTACAGCTATTCTGTCTACTTTCTTCTGCAATTGCTGATGGGTTTTCATGGTACCTGCCTTGGAATGCCAGGTATTTCTGTACTGTGACATGAGTAGTTACAAAATGTATATCTTGCCTCAGTGACATGTAGAGAGTCACAGGAATCTTTTAATTTTGTTGTAAAAAAAAATAAATCTCTGACTCTCCTCAACTGTGCATTACAAATTGTTAATAAACACTTGGTTTGCTGTGCATGAATCAACATCAGCCTCTAAGACTTATAAAGTATGAATAGTGTGGCTGCAAGGAATGCACTGTAGGAAGGACACAAGGGAAGTGATTAAGACCTAGTTCCTGAGTGAGACAGCTTTTCTTAATTTTACTATGAGTGGGATTATTTTGTGAAGTCAAATGTACTCCATGCTCATCATCTGTGCTGAGAACATTTGAAATTGATTGCACGTAAAGGGTTGGATAATCTTCACAATTATATGGGAACACTTTTTTTCCTCCTTTCTTTCTCTAATTTGCATCTACTGAAGATTTCTGGTTTCTAAACCTAGACTAGAAGAAGAAGCAACAAATTGAGGAAATTCAGTCAAATTCAAGTTGTTACAGTCCCTTACCAGATTCTTGTGTCTCCATTCTTTTGGGCAAATAACTTTAATAAATAACTTTAATGGAGGGTTCATTACTTCAGTAATAAAGTCTTAATGATCACAATTTGGGAGGTTATGTGATGGCATTAGTGTAGCCTCCTTATGTTACTGTTCCCAGCTTCATGAATTTATTGTGTTCTTGAAATGGTAGACACTCAGAGACAGGTTGATGTTTCTGGCTAAAAAGGTAGAATGTTGCCAGAAATAATAGTCATGCACTTTAGTGGTGTAAGCAATATAAAAAGATAGATGAATGGATAGATGGATAGACTTTTTTATTTATTGCAAATACAGATTAGTGGTTTCACAAGTAATAAGATTTCTGTTGGAATTAATGGAATAACTGACAGGTTTTCTTTCTTTGCCATTTATTTAATTTTAATGCACCTTGGAGCCTTGTATGTTTGATTCTGTTTTTAGTTAGAAAACACGGATAAGTGGGATAGCTATTGAGGTCTGTGAAGACAATGACCTCCAGAATTTTCCTGTTTGTTACAGTGTACTGTGCTAACTAATGCTGGACCAACTACTGAAGAGCTAATGAACTCCTCCAGCCTTCGTACCAGTTAATACAGTGGCATGGTTTTCACTAGAGCTTAGACTTTCTAGATATGATGTGTGATATTCATGATTTTCACACAACTTCGAGATTTTTGAGGAAAACTTTTGCCATGTATGTAAGAGTAAGAAACACTCCAGGTCTCTAAGAGTGCAAAATCAGAAAATTGTGGGTAGTTTTATTTCCTACATACCAGAATGCTCTGCCTCTTCGATAGGAAGTTGTTCTTAACAGATGCATCCTTTAGTTACTGAATCACACAGTACAAAATGGACTTCTCTTCATACTATTCATTAGGGAAATTGTAAACTTAAACATCCACTGAACACAGAGTATCTGCAGTACGTTTTGGGTGGATGTTGCTTTTGCTTTCAGCAGAATGCTGAAAGAACACAAGTGGTCTCTTGAAAAGAACTTCTCAGTAAAGCCAGGAAACAGGTTATCAACACTTAGGCCATTCTTATTGTGTCCCTTATCATAATTGACAGTTTGACGTAAAACTATGTCACATGACCACCAGGGAGGTATGTAAATGGATAAGAGGTCACTTTTCACATATGCTTGCTGGAAAGGAAACATATTTAAAGGAAGTTTCAGTCAAAACAATGACAATATGCAAATGTTAAGTTTTATGGGCTTTTCTAAACTAACAGGAGCTATAACCCAGTCTCCTGTTACACTTTCCAAACTGCATATCTGTCTACTTTTTCTAGTGATCACAAAAGCTTGAAATGAAGATATGTCTTAGACAGCCACTCTTTGAATGGGAGAATACAAAACCAGCTTAAATATTAACCTCTAAACATTACTCTGACTATGATTAGTGATTGAGTGGTTGACTGTGGGTTTTTAATGTATGTAGGATTTACATACTTAAAAATCAGAAGGATGGTTGTGCTTGGAAGGTGCCCAGTTTACACTGAGAAGAGAGCTATAGTGAAATCTAGCTCTTGGGTACAACTTCACATCAGTACATCTCACAGCACTGGAGAGTGCAAACCAAAACCACTTTCCTCCACAGAGGGCAGAACAGAAATAGTGAGGTGGATGATGTTCAGGCAGGTGGTAGAGTTGGGAGAAGCACTTGGTCTACTTCCTCTGTTTCTGCGTGGGACTGTATCCCCTTCCCATTATGCAGCTGAAGTGCTGGGGAGAAACAATTGTAGTGGGCTTTGTGCTCTCTGCTCCTTCGTGAGCATAGCAGTGAGGATGTGTTGCAAGGATGAGAGATGGCTGCAGCTCCTTTTGTCAGGAAATGGCTGAGGTGCCTGTGAGGTTTCCCTATCAGCTGCAAGGCTGAGTATCCCTTTCCGTTTCAGGATACAGACCCATGTACTTTTTTTTTCATGTATTTAAGTGAGAGATAAATTAAAAAATCGCTGATGATAGTTTGTGGATGGAAGGTGTTACTGTCGTGGGATTTATGTGATTTGATGAGCTGAAAACAAGCTGTGAGACTGAAGAACAGGCCTGTCCAAAATCCTTCTAGGAAAGACTTCAGCATGTCATGCCAAATTGGGTCATTTATTTTGCATTTGTACCATGTTTTTGACAAAGTTTGTAACATTTTTCAGCAATTATCAAATATCTCATGTGATCTATTTGTTAGGTCCCTCTGCTGAGGAATGCAAGTTTTCTCAGTTAGCCTTCAAGTAGTTTCCTGCCTCTCCCTTTCACATGTCCTGCAAAGAAACTCTCCTAGGTGGCTTACTGTGGGTGAATGAATGTGCCTTCTCATCTCCAACTAACACTGCTGCATCATTTTAGGGGTCACTTGAGTTACTCTCAGGACTGTTACTAGGCAGAAAGATTTCAGCATGATTTCAGACAACATACAGCACTCAAAATACAGTAGTGAAGAACCCTATGTTCTTGCAAAGCTTGGTACTTGTGTCAGGTCTGTGCTTCCAGGCTGTCCTTGCTGAGCTGTCTGGACATCCTCCAAAGGCAGCATTCCCACTGCTGCTGCAAACAGACATTTTCTTCCATCAAGTGTAGCCAAAGCTCAAAGAGCTCTTTTAAGCTTCTCCAGCCTTTTTAGCCAGAAAGCACTCAACATATGTGAGAGATGCAGACACAGACTTCGAAAGTGATATTTCTACATGCTTTCAAAAGTATATTTCTAAATCGTAGACATTGTGGTGTCCAAGGAGGGATGATTTGGAAGAGCACATTTTATGTGAGGGAGAAAAAACCCCATTTTCCTGGCAGGTTAGTTTTTAAAGTCAGTGTGGCAGCTATATGAGCCTGCTGAGGAGTGTGGCACAACAGTTCTTGACACTAGGAAGGTGATTTTCAGCGCATCTGGTGCCATACTGGGCTTGTCACATAAAGACCTGCAGTTCTTTGAGGTGTTGTCAGTACCACAAGTAGGGCACAGCTGGTGCAATGAATATCACAACAGTTTAAGCTAACTACAGGTCTGGTGTAGCATGAATCTCCATGTACATGTGTGTGTGTGCAACACATACATAAAATGTACATGTTCTGTTATTACCATTATAGTAGTTAGATGCGTATGTTATGAGGCATGTATAACAGTGCATAATGTGCAGTATGTAATTACTGGCATTTATGAAATAGGCTTGAAAAGCTCTTTTTGGAGATTTCTTGATAAATTTAACACATTAACTGTACATGTGGAAAGGTGTCATACAGACTGTGGGAAGAACAGAATGATTTAGTGCAGAAACTAATCTACTAAAATGTAGTGTATCACTCCCTTACTGTTTTCCCCAAATGGCAAATGCAATCAGGTTCAATAGCAAGCTAAGTGCTTGCCAGATTTTTGAGCTAGGCGTAAGTGCGTAAAATCACTTGGTAACACTAAGTTTGTGATTTTAGTGTTTTTTATGGTTCTAATCAGCCAAAGGGCTCTTACTTGCAGACTTTGTGAAAGAAGAAAAGAGGAGGGTTTTAACTTTTCAGTCTTGTGTTTCAGCTGGAAGTGAGTTTTTATAGCTGAGTTATAAAGCTTTAAAATATGCATCTGTAATGAAGATGGTAACATTCTTAAGAATTATATTAGATATCCACCTACTGTACATTGAGTAACTGTACTGACTTATTTTACTATGTCTTCAATATGAAAATCAGGTTTATAAGACTGTTTTGTATAGTGACTAAACCAAATATTTACTTACCCCTTTCTTTAAATGTGTTTATTGTATTATTCACAGTTACTTCTAGCAAATTTTTTCACTGCATGTTTCCTTTTCTCATTAATTTCATGTGGTTTAGTCATGCTTTTAATGGCTTTTAGAAGGTCTTTTGGAGTTCTTTAGATAACAAACAAGAAACAATCCCTATGAAAACATCAGAGATTAACATTTCCATTTCTCAGACCTTAACAGCAGGAAGCTTATGAGTCTAACAGCCAGACAGGGTCAGGTTTGTCTTGTCCTCAGCATATGTATTTTTCAGGAAAAAGACTGTAATTAATTGTGCTCCTGTGAAAGTAGTTTATTGTAGTTTTTTTTTGCTGTAGCCTGAGCTATCTAAAGACTGTGAATACAGATAGAGAAGACTAAAATGCATCCAATGCAATTAAAGTCAGCAACATTATCTTCAATTCAGAGAGCTGTATCATACATAATGGTACAGCAGTTTATATACAGCATGACTATACAGAGGTTAAAATGTATGTTTTCTTCACAAGCCAGATAAGTTGACTTTTTTAAACTTAAAAATAAGCAGTATATATTTTCAATAAATCTGCTAACACTATAGGGCAGATGTTAAATAAACAGAGCTATAGAGGGTTGCTTGAACAGTCCATGAAGGCAGAACTGATGATTTGGGGATCTGGGAAGAAATTGTTTCAGCTAACATTTAGTACATTCCTCATGACATTAAAATGCAATAAAGTATTTTAAATGCTATTATTCTAAATCTAAAGCAAGATTAGATTATTTTATCACTCCTTCTAAGTAACCCCACTTCCAATAACATTGGATTAATAAAATTCAGTTACAAAATACCTTTACCCTTATTAAATAGCAAGATAAGGACATACATTTTGCTTAATCTGGGCAAATTTTCTATAAATTGCATGTCTTCTGTGTTTCATGAAATGCATGCTACAAGATATTGATTATATTTGACCTTTACTTATCACACATTATATAGAGCACTGCTTAGAGAAAGAATTTTTATTTTCTTCTTAAAGTATCTTGCTTTTGAATATTAACATTTCCTTTTATTCCAGCTCAGTTTGTAATCTAATAATGGCTAATTGTTATGTGCTAAACACTAGTTAATCTTATGCTTTATTAATAAAGGAGCATATTAAAGTAGCATTATCTTAATCAAATCTATAGGCATTTATTTCTCAGAATAAGTTCTTTTTCTTTGTTTTATTTTTTAAAGTTACTTCTTGGGAAAGTAAGACTTTTGCCATTTACAGTACTAGTTTGCATGTATTCATTTAAATACTAAAATCTGTAGTACTGCTCGATCCATATCTGACTGCTAGGTTTCAATTGACAGCTGAGAATTTGTGACTGGACCATGAATCAAAACGGCAGGCATTTATACCCCAGTGCCAGTGAGGATACATTGGGAATTACTTGGCAAAGGTAACATTTTAATTATTTCCACCCCTACACCACCTCTAAAAAAGTTGCATTGAGCTACAGTGTCTGTTTTAGTGGGCCTCCAGAGAAATATGTGACAGTATTTGATCAAAACATGCATGTAACATTTCTCCCATACGCATTCAGGTTTATTTTTAGTGCAAGCTGAATTTAGAACCTACCTTAAATGAGCACCTGGAATGACAGTGCTGCGCTGTCAAATGCAAAGGGTTTGTAAATTTAAGGGAATACTCATGTTAGGCTTTAAAAATGAAAATGTCATTTGCAGAATTAAAAGTCATATTTTGGGGGGCTTAGTGGTTAACACAAAGAAAATAATGATATCAGGAGTATAGATGAGTATAATAATAAATGTCTGAGGTGGTGGTGGTTTTTGAACAATGAATAACCATAATATTAAGAGACTTTTCTGACTAATCAGCTGGTACAGATTAGGTCACTGACATGTACATGAAGGTAAGATATAAACCATCCTATTTCTCAACTAAATAACAGAATAATCAGGAATTATTTACTCTAAAGAGAATTTTTTTTTTTTTTTTTTTTTTGTATGAAAACAGGTGAACACAATAAACCCCATTAACCTTTGGTATATTAATTAATTTTTCATTATTATGTTTTACATCACTTGGTATATAATGAACTACGGTAACAGTAGAAGTGTGTGTCTAAATAGGTATGTAAACAAATTAGTGTAATTGTGATACAGCAGTTTTTCACTTCTTTCATGTGCAGGACTATCTGCAATACTCAGCACTTAATGGGGGTTGTACATGTGTAGTCTGTGAGTTGGGAGCCTGTCAGATGAAGTATTAGCTACTCACTCTTAAAGTAATTTTAAATACTTCTTGGAAATTTGTGAACCCATAAAAGTATATGTACTTCTGAATCGTTTGTGTAAGTATGTGTGTGGGGGTGTATATGTATTATGTGTTTAATGCATTTTGATGCAGTGTTTGTACTATGGATTGCTGGTAGTTTTGGGGCTTTTGAGTATCAACTTGGAAGGATAATTACAGAATTTGAAAATAGGTGCTCTTTACAAATCTCAAGGTTAAACACCTCGAGTATTTTTCCTTTTTTTTTCTTTATCCATGTTTTGCAAATTTTCTGAAATAACATTTAAAATCTGGAAGCATTGTAGTGGAAAAGCAAGGTATTGTCATTTCTTCCCATATAGATTAAATGGCACAATGGAAAATTAGCTAATGGATTCACCTCATCTCCTCCAGGGTTGTGATTCACATTATAAATCGTCATCATGCAGTAATTGCCACAGTTTTCAATGTACTGCCAAGAGTGAATCCAAACTGAGCTAGTGTAGCACAGTAGCACAGGGGGAGTGATTTATTCTCCCACTACAAAGGGTGTTGCTTTTTAAGGGCACTGTCAGGCATTAGGAAATTACATTTCCTAATACTATTAGGACAAACTAATCTAATTAGTAATATTTTATTTATATTTATATATAGTCATATATAAACATGACAACTGCCAGTCTAGGAATATCCTTGAATGGTTTTAACCAGTCATTGCTGAAGCCCTCTTTAAAGCGATGCCAGTTTATACTGGCTGATGCACTATCACTGTGTTTGCTGAATTCTGTTTTGCAGTACCCAGCACACAAGACCTGTGGACATAAATTATGAAAACAAAGGAAAGCGAGGAGAGGGTGGCGGGGTAGGAATGATGTTTTCTAGGCGATGACCAAAGAAACTTTGGTGATTAATGTAGGCATGTGACATGATCCATTCACCTTTATAGACAAAATTGCTTTGCAGATCACTCCCAGACTGCTGCCTGCCACTTTGACCCTACCGACATACAGACCTGCTGCCAGATGAGCTTGGGCACAAATTCTATCATGGCATCTCTTTAAAAGCAGGCCTAGACTATGCTTACTTGGCCTTGAATTAAGCACACATTCTTGGACGACAAAGAAGCAAACTGTTAGTTCTCCCTAAGAAGGTGGCTTTTAGGATTTGGGTTTTAGAATACAACATTCTTCAACTCCCATGTAGGTGGGGATCTAAGAAGAGAAGTAATGCCTGTGCAGGCTAAGCAGAAGTGAGCCCTTCGAACACTAAAATTAACACTGAAAAGAAAGACCTATTGCAGGAGGAGTTGCTGTCCATTGACAAATAATATATTCTAGACTAGACAGTCAAATTTTCTTCAACAAAATGGTTTGATAAACATTTTATTAATGTGATTTTCTCAAATCTGTAGTGCATGTTCTGGTGGCATAAGATCTGACCTTTTACAGCAGGCTTTTGTAGTTGTTTTCAGTATACTGATTTTTCAGAAGTATCTTTGACCTCAAGATGGTAAAGAAGTTGTAATTGTCTCAGTGGTAGCTGTCCTGTCTGTACAGAAGTAGACAGCAGAGATGGCGTAATAGAGATGAATGAGGTGGAAATTTTGTCATTGTGCATTGCTGGTGAACCACAACTTGGAAACTTGGGGAGAATTTGAGTGATGATAAAATCTCTGTTATTTCTATGTTTTTTTTTGTCTTATTAGTGGCTGCCTGTCATACCTGATAGTATATATGATGCATAGATTTCAAAATGTGATACCTAGATTTCAAAATGTATTTTCCAGGATTTTATTTCCATATAAAATTATATATCTGTTGGTATTTAAAGTCCCAGGTGTAAGACAGAAGTGGTTCACATGCAAAAGACTGAACTTAAAAAGAAAAAAAAAGAAAAAGAGGCTATGAATAATGAAAGAAAAATAAGAACAAAACATCTAACCCCCTAAACTTTTAAGTCATTAACACACCATTTTTTTTCAAAACTGGGATACTTGCAAGAATAGTGATTAAATAGTGATTAAAAACTAGATTAGTATTTTGCTTAACTGAATCAAACATTCTAGTATCTTCAAAGGAAATACTTAAATAAACCATCCTTTGACCATTCTACAAAACCAAAATAAAACAATATTAAAAGTATGAGTTATTTGGTAAGGTATTTTGAAGTAGCAGTTTTAATTTTGCCCCTGATACTCAAATTATCTACTGTTTTATTGCTTACTTATAGCATTTATGCTATGTATTTTATTAGGTTGGCTGAAATTTGAACAACATTTAAGCAGGTCAATAGAATTAAGTCCTCAAATACTTTTAAGATCGTATAGGTCAAATTTTCACTGTACATATGATGAAAATGCTCAGAATCCATTAAGAAAAACACAACCTTTTTTTGTAACCACACTTCTGTGATAATAACTCTTTTTCTAGACTCAGAAGGTGAGGGGAAGCTGTGAAAATCTGTAAAGCTCAAATAGGAAAATAAGTCTCAATCGCAACATGAGAGCGAGAGCATAGGCAGCGAGTAAACTTAAGACGTGAGTGAGAGTGAGAAAAAGGTGTGTGTGTAAGTGATAACATGAACTTGATCCTGAATTTCAGCCAGTCATTATGCCACTGATACTATTTCCAGTGGGACCACTCCTGAAAGCCAGCAAGCATGATGGGTCTCTTTTAAAGCATGTTGAGTATTTGTGAGTCTTCCACAGATTGTAAGCAAATTTTCATTGCCAAAATGCACATTTTAAATCTGCTGTTGCCAAATACATTTTTATTCCCAACTGTTGTTACATTGATTTTTTTAAACATTATTTCTATGCAAGTGTTACGGGTTAACTGCTACTTTAACATTACATTTACACTACACAGGCAAATGCACTAGGTTAGCATTTCCTGCCTTTGGTCTCTTATCTTGACACATAAGCATATATTACAGCAGCTGGATTGTTCCTGGAGATGCTGAGAGGAACTCTGTTTTCAGAGTGCTGAATTTCCTTCTCAGCTGTAGCTGTAGGGGTGTTCAGCTTTCCAAGCGTCTTTTCCCCCACACCCCTCCAGCAGAATGCTGGTTTATGATAACAATGCTGATAGGGCAATCAAATGTGATAATCTGTGATTTGTGAAAGAAGTAGGAGAGGAATAGAGAATGGCTGCAGATTGCTTTTGTACCACATTACCTTGCATGTGTTTGGTTTTGAGCAAACACATAGCAAAAGTAACACAATCAGCAGCAGTTCTGTGACGAGAACATTTTGGCAAACACAGACACCTGTTAGAGAAATGGTTCACACCATCTGCCTCCCACTGTGCCAATCCCCTTGCACAATGCTTTGGAGGAGAACTATCAATTCATAACAATTTAAGAACAAAAATGCTGAAGTATCCTGATTATAAAAGCATTCATAGAAAGAAAATGTAATCATTTCTCGACTTTATAAATTTAAATTCCTAACTCCAAGAGTTTTGCCCAACTCTGTAATGCAGAAAGAGGTGCAGAACATTATGTTTCCTCTCCATCTAGACAAACATCTTCAGAACACTTCCTAAGAAATTAATTGTATTCAAGCCAGACTTGCATGCTGCCATCCCACAGGAAATGGGTCAGCAATCCATTAAGATGCCATTAGATAATCTAATTTGGATCTTAATCTCTAAATTAACCATGCTCCATACTTGAATCATACTTGAGAGAAAGAAAAAATGTTTATGTTTGAATCGATAGGGGAGCTGAAGCGTGAAGAAGGCTGTTTGTTTTTTCTGTAGCTGTGGTCACGTCTCAAGCCGTCTGGTAACCAGGAGAAACCAGACATGATGTAATTCCAGATTGAACTTGAACTTCAGGGACTTAGAATGGGGGAACAATGGACCATAGGAATCAATAATGTCAATTTTCCACATGATTATGTTTGGAGCTTTAAGTTAACCTTTTTGAGAGAAGCAGCAAGAACTGAAGTGTGACCAAAATGATTGAGATGATCCAGAAGCAAGATGTTAAAGTAAAGAAAACAACTTCAGTAATATTTTCTGAGCAGCGCTGCAGATTCCAGCAGGATTAGAAAAGTTCCTGCTCTGCAGTGAACTGGTTGCCTGTTCTGAGCACTCTTTGTTCACTTAGGTAGGACAAACTTAATCTTATGTTTCCTGTCAGATGATTTTTGGCAGCACT